CTCTACATCCAGGACCAATAGGATTCATTAAATTGGGGCAACCTTTGGGGCAAAGTCTAGGTTTGGGAGAATGGTTGTGTAAAAATAAGCGTCCACATGTGAGAATGCAACCCAAACCTTTCATATCAACTCTTACCTGTTTGGTTGGAGATCTTCCCTTCTGGACATGGAGTGCAATCATAACAGCAAAAGGGGTTTCCTTCAATCTTGGTCTTTTTGTAACCTGAATGGCAGTTTTCATTACAGAGTGAAAGAGGTTGCACCTGTGCATAAATGAAAGACACATTTGGTTTGCAAAGGGGTTGAAATGCTGGTATCATATGGCACTCTCTCTCTCTTTCTGATTCATCTGAGACTATGCACACAAACATAGAGAGCTGCTGGACTAGGATTCATAAGCGATGTGAAGAGGTCAAGAGGAAGATGGACAACTAGAAGTATATATTGAGTCCTGGGATCTTAATATGTGAACTCTGTGGGTCAGTTATTAGTAGCCATTGTATGGATAGGCAGGCTTAAGCTTGAATTGGATGAGCACCTGAGATTCCCCACTTTAAGGAAGTGCATACTTGAAAATGTAGCAAGCCAGGAGAGCAGCATTTCTTGCATGGGAAATCTTTTGGTAATTCTGATGCGTGAGACTTGGATTTTTGCCCCAAAGATTTGTTCCAATGCAATAGTGACTGCAGGAGGAACGAAGCCTTGTTCAAATGAAAGGGATGTCGTTTCTGCAAAGAAATTAATGCTCTGACAAAAGCCATCTTAGTGACAATCAAAAGCAATGTCTTCTACATTGCTAGAGCAGGAAAAAGAACTCATGGAGAGGAAGAGAATCCAAAGCTAGAGGAGGCGCTTAATGTTGGACTCTGTACATTTTCACAGAATCTTCACTCTCAGTGAGGTTCTACTCAGAAAATGTGAGATTATGAGGGGATGAATATTGTTGGGGTGGTGGTGGAGAATAGAGAGGGACTCATTTTTCTTCCTGATATGTAGTATATTGTTAGTTAGTACTAATGGAGTCACTGTGGTGTAGTGGTTAAGGCATCAGGCTAGAAACTGGGAGAATGTGAGTTCTAGTTCCACCTTAGGTCCAAAGCCAGCTGGGCGACCTTGGGCCAGTCACTCTCTCTCAGCTCTAGGAAGGAGGCAATGGCAAACCACTTCCGAAAGACCTTGCCAAGGAAACTGCAGGGACTAGTTCAGGCAGTCACCAGGAGTCAACATTGACTCAAAGGCACCAAAAAAACCCTAGTGGATCACAGAGAATAATAAGTTAAGAGAAGATGAGTAGCTGGAAAGAGTACCAAGTCTTTTGCTGCTTTCAACAATAAGCAAGTGAAATTCATCGTCTTAGGACTGGATTCATGATTTTCCTCAGAATTCTTCACCCTCTTCAAGCATAGGAAAATGGGATAAACCATTATGTCAAATATGTTCTAGAGAAAGACTTAAATTACTTTATACTTTAGGATAGTTCTAAGCAAAGAACATCAAAAGCATTTCTTGAGTATATTAGGAAAAATGATTGTAGCATGAATTGATTCCAGATAACATCCCATATGAGATTTCTGCTAATTTCTAAAGTCACTTAATCAACACTATTCAATATTGGGAATATTGTAACTGAATACTCCTTAACCCTGGGTAACAAAATAAATATATCTCAATCTTACCTGATTAAAATGACTGGGCCAGACAATGGTCTTTTCAGAAATGGACAACAGTTGGTCTGAGGGTGCCTGTGACGCTATCGTTCCAATTTTGACTCTGAGAAAGGATTGGTTGGGAAATGTGACCCAGTTGATAATATCAAATCCTGCTATTAATTCACCATTTTCATCAAAGGCAATGGTATCTCCAGCACTGTTATTAAATGATACATGCCTCAGAAAGTGGTGAAGCTAAAAAAACAAGGCAGAAAAATGGTGAAAGAAATGGGTTTTGCATGACTTTACATAATAATCTAGAATAAGTACAATGAGAACAATAAGAATAATTTACTGTATGACATTTGTATGCTGCCCAATTCTCCATGACTCTGGGCGGCTCACAAAAATCAAACAAAGAAATTAGAATCAAATCAATAAAAGATAAAGATAAAAGATGGGAAGTGTGATGAAGCAAAGGGTCTCACTCTTCCTTCCCAAAGGCCTGGGTGAAAAGCACGTGTGTGTGTGTGTGTTTATAGTAAATGCTATGTAAAACCTTTATGTGGATGAACATTGTACATGCTAACAATGAAGATAATAAAATGGTTCCGTACTATTAAAAATCAGTACTGATATTTCATGAGGATGAATGAATATTCATACATTGTAAAATACCATTTAAATTCTATTTTAAAGTGATATGAATGTCTACACTGCAGAATAATCAATGTGTGACGATTTATATTATAACCAGAAAATCACACTGTCATCTATTGACGTCGGTACACCTTACCTGAGAAGCAAGAACAATTGTAAAATATACCGATATTTTACCCCAAAGACATTGGAGACTTTATAAAAAGGGTCTTGAACAGCTCCTAGTTGCAGTTGATGGGGCTATGTAAAAAGATACTTTAAAAATGTTATTGACAACAGAGAAAATAAGGGTGGAGTTATTCTCCTTCATCTCCCTGAAAACACATGTTAAAATCAGCCACAACAAGCAAGAAATAAGGATGGGCAAACAGTTTTATTCATCCATATCTTGAGGTGGTACTCCTATCAGACAGGAGAGAAGGTATCATTATGAGCCTAATCTCAGACTGATGAGGGTCGTCGATAAAACAGTTGATAACTTGAAGCTGGGATAGTTGAAGAAAAGAGAAGTCAACATATTTTCTCTTTTCACAGAGAATGGGGACCTCACATTATGAGAGAAAGTTCTGTAGCTGGGTATCATCCAGATTATGGGGTCTCCCAGATCCCAGGATATCTTGGCTTCTCGATCAATGGTCACGCAGACTGGAAATTTCACTACTGTGGTTCCAACCTATCTGAAAGGAACCAAGCTAAAGATGGTTGACATATAAACCTATACTGTTGCACCAGAAATTATAATGCAGTGACTCTCTGCTTACAATCAATCAATAAGGCATTAGATTTGCATTGCAGACAAGCCCTTTTTAAGGATCTGAGATGCCCAGAGGCAGAAGGATCATTTGAGGATCTCACCATCCAATTTTGTTTCACTGCATCCTATGTCCAAGTAATATTCCCTCTACTTTATTGTTGTTCAGTTGAAGTTAATAGCCCATTAATTGGGAATGAAGCACGAAATAATCCTTAGCTTATAGTTCAATATTCATTCATCTAGTCATTTGAAATACTGATCCATACTTTTGATGCACCAAACTCCATATCTGAAGTCTAAAACAACTGAGGAACTGCCCCAGTGATTCCCATTACCTTTTGGTAATGCACCATATGGTCTTGCCCAAAACATGGCCATCCCGAGTTGGCATTTCCAAATGTTAGAGTCTAAGTAGGGTAGACTCCAGCTTGCTGGCAAATGGAAAACAATCACAGAAGCAGCAATAGCAAAATATTTCTATACAACTTGGTACAGTCACCAAGAGTTGACTTGAGAGAGCCTTTTCTGTCTACTACTTATACTGTACCTTCACCCCTCAGTGAAGGAGGACAAAGAGAACATTTGCTCAGTAGATTACCTTCCATAACTGTTGCTTAAGAAGTTTCTTCTTCACCACAGATCTTTGCATCTCTAAGGATGAGTCCAGAGCCTGCAAAGCATGTGCAATTGCATAAACAGCATTATAGACACTGTAGCTGTGGGCAGTCATGTGCATTTCAAAAACCATCTCAGGGAGCATCTCCAATTTCTCCTCTCCAGTGCAGATATTCTCCTCCACTGTCTCACTGGTAAAAGATGGCAGCAAACAGTAAAATACCTGCTGCCAGATTTCTTTCAGGAAACCATCTTCTTTTTGCAAAAAGGGGTTCCTCTTCTGAAGAAATTTCTGGAATCCCGACACTTCCTCAGAATGAATTGCCAAAGATACAGCACCATGCATAAAATGAATACTCCAGCTTCTTTGAAGGAGAAGAGATGAAAAGTCCCCATCTGCTGTCATGATCCAGACTTTTGCTTTCTCTGACATATTATCAAATTCTGAAATTTTCAACAATAGCCACAAATTTAAAATACTCTGAAATTCACCATGGAAGAGCACTATATTAACCGTGCTGTTCAAGGCGGTGCCTATTATTCTTTGTGCTGACATTATCATCTTATCAATGTCACTGATATACCCATTTGGTAACTTTTCTATGAAATCAAAGCAGATACCATTCTTGGAAAACACGGGCAACACTTTCCAGAGCAAAGTTTCTGTTGCCGTTCCGAAATCAAGATACAATACCCCGATCCATATCCATCGGAAATGCAGCAAAAGCCTGAGCATCCCATAATATTGATGATTGGTGTTTGGGAACATCCAATGGAAGAAAACACCTTCTAACTGGCTATTCATGTTTGGAGCAGAGCTATATGCGAGCTAAAGAAAATGAAGGAGAGCCAAGGAGGCAGAATTGTTAGTTCCACTGTAAGTTATCGACGTGATTTGGGATTCTGCAGTAATGTACTTCTTCCATTGTCAGCCCTTTCTTCTAACCAAAACCATGCTAATGCAACCCAGGTTTATCATAAAGTTTGTCATCAATGAGTATCTCTGAGCAGAGCTAGTGATAAACATTTTAGTGTAGGGAGAAGAAGAAGATGATCATTTCAGGCCTCAAAGATGAAGGTAGGCTCATCAAAACAATGATTCATTAATTTAAAAAAGCTTGTTTAAAATAAATCAACTAAGATAGTAACAATACTCGGAATAAAATAACAAGAGTTATTTCCACATTTTGGATTTATCCTACTTATTGGGCTGCTGTATTCAAAGGATTGAAAGAAATCATACTGCTAGAGAATACCAAACATATCTTTTGAATAATAATGCTGACTCTCTCCCTGCAGTTATTTTAGAGCTTTAAACCCACCATTTCTGTGTGTATCATGGGATATAAAAAGATTGCAGTGTTGATTTAAAACATCACATATACTGTAAAAGAAGAGAAAAACTGAGTAATATGTCAGCTCTCCGTGCTTCATGAAGTAAAATTTACCTGAGAAATCTTGTATCTGCTGAGGATCGTTGCTATGTGTAGAAAATCATTTGAGTTTGGTCCCCCAATGACTGCTACCAGATTGTTCTGGAGATCGCATTTATAGTTTGGAATGAATCTGCTCGGTGTGGAGAGAATTTCCATTGTAGCTGCATATGTATATTTAGGAACAAAATAGTTATTATAGATGTTGAAGCCCAGAGTGACATTGGATAAGATCTGCGGACTTCTGTTCATCTCCTTTACAGCAAAAACCAAAGCTAAGATGTGTTGGTAGGTCTGAGGCATCAACCTGCAATTGAATTATAAAATAACACCACCACTCAGGGCAATGACGTCAGATGGTGATGTGAAGTCCCTTTCATCCTGTAATGTATTTTTCCAACTACATTGCTTTAAAATGAATTAAAATCTGAAGCACATATACAAGGGAAAGATCTTGGAAAGAACTTAATGTAGCATTAGCCATTCTGTTGGAAGACCATAGCTGGAGATTTACTTATTTTTAAACCCACTACTAATCCTACTTAGATTAAATGGATGTGTTTTTCTGCAGGGATCCATGGCAGATCTTACATGGGAATAAAGCTACCTGTAATTCTGGATCCTGTTCATTATTCCAGCCCAACCCAACCCAACCATTCATTTCATGAGCTGGTTGAGAGATTGCTTCTCCCTACCTCCCAAATAAAAAAATGCTGCATTAATGCACCTCTTCCTCTAGTAATGCTACCACCTCTGATTCAGTCGATAAGAGATAACATACCCTATATAAGGAAAGAAGAAAGGTGCACTCACAAGCAAAACTACCACCCCCTTGAATAACGTATAAATATGGATTTTACTTTTCTTCTTTGACTGTTATCAGGACAGAGACACAATAGATTTTGAAATTTTCCAGCCCCTTACATCAGCTCCGTGATCATGTCCTCGAAGGGGTGCCTCCTGAATGTGATCTCCTCAGAAGAGACTAAGATCTGAGAAATTATGCCACCAATGATGAATTCCCCTGATCCGTGATATTTATGAAGAATTACACTAGGCTCCTTAGTTGTGCATTTTGCAAAAGGGACTTTACACCCAGTGTTAGGGAGCCACATTAAAACCAACATCTCAAATAGTAGGACCAGAAATAGAAGTTTTCCTGTAAAGAAAATGTCTTTTTTCCTCATAATTGACACAGATGCCTCAAACCACATGTTAAATTCAGTCAGTTTTGAGTAAACTACTGGATCTGAGCTGATAAACCAGAATCTCTCTATATTCCCAGGTCTACAGATCACCATGGATCTATAATATACTTATATTTTCTAGGGAACTGTCTTAGTGGTGAGAGAAATCATAGTCAAGATGCTAATAATAGGGCAGGTAATTACCTACTCTGAGTTCTTCAGATTAGTAAAACAAAACATATGTCTTCTTTGTGACATGTTTACCATTACTTGCTTTCTGTAGAAATGTTGTAATTTTCTAGGGAATTGTAGCAGTGGTGAGAGAAATCACAGTCAAATGCTAATAACTGGGTAGATAATTACCTACTCAAAGTTCTATAGATTAGAGAAACAAAGGTTATTTTTTTCTTTGTGCCATGTTTAGAGTTACTCACTTTCTGTAGAGATGTTGTAATTTCTTTGCCAAATTGTCAAAAATAAAATTATGCAACCAGTTATGAGTTCTCCTGGTTCATATTTTTGAAGACTAAGATGAGGGTGAGAACTAGTGCATTTTGTAAAAGGAAACTTGCAAACACTCTTAGGGAGAACCCTGAATATTACCATTATATATGAAAATCTTCCTGAAAAAAAATCCCACATCATGGACAAAGAAGTGTGTCATTGTGTAGCCAAATATCACACTGAAAGCCAGGGCATCAGAGCGTAAGTCAGCATCTGAGTTTTATGGATCACAATTTCTCTATATTCTTAGCTCAGAAGGTCACTGATGGTATTGAGAACATCCTTCAGTCATGCAGTATCATATTAGTAATGGCCACATAAGTTTTCTACAGAGTTATAATAGCGGTGGGAGTAACAACAGTTTAAATTATAATCATGGGGGAGATAATAATCTAATCAGCATTCTACAGTTTTCAGTTTAGAGGAAGAAAATATATTATTCCTTATGCTGCAGGCCACATATATAGGCTTCCACCCATTGTCTAGACATTTTGGAATAATCAGACCTCTGGGCTGAATCTCTTATTTACTTCAAAACTTTTTCTTGTGCTTTGTGTAAGTCATACAAGCAAAATATTTATCTATATTTGGTTTTAGCATTACCTAAGCTTAGGGAACCAATGCTTTCAAAAGAAGAGTAATGAAATGAAACAAACATGAGACTTGTGTCTGGGGTTGGATCATGCTTCAGCTCCATGTAGTAGAAGTTCAGATTCATATCTATACATAAGCAAAGCAAGATTCTTTTTCCCTCTCTGCAATCTAAATGTAGGTGGGAGAGTTAGAGAATAAAACCTAACTGCTGACTTTCTATGAAGTTTTCTGCTGATCCTAAACTGCAGGTCCTTCTTTCTTCAAGAAGGTAACTTCCCAGAAGCTTCCCAGAATAGGAACCCGAATGTCCAGTATGGTAGCATCTGTACTGGGAGAACTCAGTGATCACCATAGCTTCAAGGGAGAAGCCAAAGATATGGCTATTATGGACATTAAGCATGATATTGTAAGCAAAAAGAAGCCAGAAAATGAAAATAGGGTTCCTTCTTCAGTGTCAGAGTAAGTCCAGCCTGGATAAAACTCATCTTTGCATCCAATTATGTATGTCATCTGATGAACCAAGAGCTCTTCCTGATCTTAGATGGCAGTTATGAAAAACAGAACCATAATAATTTTTGGCCAGCAGACAGGAAACTACCATGGAGAAGATGATACCAAAACTGGTTTTCTGAAAGAGTCCTAGACGCCATAGTAGAGTGCTCTCTAATTTGATAAATACAGTCTGTCACATACTAACCTTTATGCCCCCCTACGCATCTAATTCTCCTACCCCTTCTTTTCGCTTATTTTTAAGACTCTTGTTTTTTATATATTTTTTAATATTTTCTAGCTTTTCATGATTTTCTTTTAGATCCCTTTTAGATATCTATTTTCTATGTGGTACCATTTAACTTTTTATTATTATTTTTCTGAAGTATTTTCTATGCTTTTTAAACTGACTGTACCCAACCCTCCTCCTGCTGGTCTTTGACCATAATAAAGATTTGATTTGATGACACCAAAACCGGTTTTCTGAAAGAGTCATGGGCCAGCCAAGAGAATAAAAGAAGGAGAACAGGAGATAGATGAAGAAGATGTAGAAGAGGCTGCCTTGTTGGCCTTGACTGTGGGATCCTTGTGCTACCTCTAGTATGAATATTGTAATAACAACAACAACAACATACCAGAAAAGCAGGCGGAAGTCCCATCCTTCCTACACTTCCAATGTCAAAGAGTGAATGCCATTGCTAATGTTTCCAAAATACCCTACTGTCATGGAAAAGGAGGGAAGAATAGTTGTGCAGGGGGAAATATTACTCCAAGATACTGAAAGGAAGAAAAGAGCTCTATATTATTATTGTTTATCTGGCAATGACTTTTGAGGCACCAATGTCCCTTTGAAAAAACATCATTTGGATTTTGGAATAGTTTATTACGAGCCTTTTTTCCCTGCAGAAGTCCCCCAGGGGCCATAGACATCTTCTCAGGCCCTCCTAGGTTCAGGAAAGCACGGCCCTATCATCAGCATAGAAAAGCAGAGCCAGCTGCCCATTGTTAATATGAGAGAGATGGCATTCTTGTTTGGTTCGGGGTGACTATTGAGTTCACGTATAGCTTAAAAAGAAGAGCAGCCAGAATACAGCCTTGTTTCACTCCAATCCAAAAATGCAAACAAAGTTTCTTAAGGAAGTGACCGCTGTGATAAAGAAGGGGAGAAGAGTTGTGGAGGGGGAAATTCTAACCCAGGTTCCTGAAGACCAAACATGGCATTTGGAAACAGAATCTAAACTGACCAATATTTATGGAAATGAGAACCTAAGCTTCCAGAAGCACCAATCCTGAATTATAGTCAATATAATTAATTGCATTTCTATACTTCTTATCTAAGAGTTTTCTACATTTCTCCCCTGGAAAACAATCTTCCTTTAAAAGTAGAGTTATATAAGGTTAGAGAGATATAATATGCCAACAGAAGATTAATGTAGAAGCAGGCAAACTGCAATTACATTGCATGATGGGTCTGTGACAACCACCCCCGGGGCTGGTACATCTCTCTGGGTCCTTTCCATTACTGGTTGTGTGCAATGCCAAAAACAGCTCAAGAAACAAGTAAATACTTTCCAAAATGAGGCTCTTTACTCACTGCTTGAAAAGAAAGAATTGAATACAAAAAAATATTTTTAAGCTGCAAGTTAAAACTTGCTCAATGAAAGCAAGCAGTCCCATAGAAGTAAAAAGCAGATAGATAAGTCCCTTTTCCGCCTGAGCAGCCTCACGTGAAGTAGCCTTCCAAGCGAGCCGTTCTCCCTCACACAAATGAGATCAAGGCTTGAGATTAGCAGCTTCCTTGAGGAAAGTGGATTCCACAGATCAACAAACATACAAAGCCAATGTCTTCTTCCAAAGCTCCCTCTATCCTCCCTCTATGGCTTCAGGGCTTATCTTAAGTACTCTTTCCAGGCTGGCCTCCACCCCTCTTCACAGGTGACAACAATTAAGGATACTGCTTTGATTTCAATTAACAAAGGTTTCAATAGTTACAAATCACATACAACTGGGGTTTCTCCACAAGATCTTATCTGATTACAACAATTTATAGCTTTCTAACATCTAAAGCTTGTCTTCTTTCTCCCCAGTGATAAAAAACCTCGTTCCCATCACTTCAAAGCGGATTCAAGAAGTTTCTCTATCTACTAATTTAGACAAGGAAACACACATAAAAACAGGTTAGTTCCCAGAATCCCGGACCTCCATCACAGGTTCGTATGATGGGTTAATGTCCACCTACACAGCACAGATACAAAGTCATAGGCCTAATATGCACACATACAAACTTGTCCTAAGAAACCTATTGGCCCAATTTATTCTTCCACCCTACAAATTTTGATTTAGCCAGGACGGTTGGATAGGAAGATATAAATCTTTGCTTCTGGCATCTCCTCCCCCATGGACCTTTTGGGGGGGGGGTTATCAGTGGCTGTGTTGGAGAGATGGTGGCACTGCCTGAGACAGACCCTGTGCATAATCTGGGGGTCCTCCTGGACTCATGACTCCTGCTTAAAGAGCAGGTGGCAGTCATGGCCAGGAGGGCCTTTGCACAACTTTATATTGTGTGCCAGCTGCACCTGTTCCTAAATCAAGGGGTTCTGCTCATGGCCACATATGCCCTAGTCACCTCATGATTGGACTACTGTAATGCACCCTACATGGGGCTGCCCTTGAATAGTGTCCGGAAACTTGATGTGATGGAATGGAATTATGAAGGCCAAGCTCAGGGAGATAAACATTTTCTTGCCAGAACCGCGTGGGAGGAACAAGATGAGACTGGCACCTCCCTGAGGAATTCACACTGTTGTGGCTGGAGGACTTTGGGAAC